TTATGCTTAGAAATTATGGGAAGTGGAGGGGGGTAATTGACTTTGTACATGACATGCAGGGGAGTCACTTATTTTGTACATAAATATTAGTGGGGGGTCATTTACATTGTACATGCTTCTCCATAAAAATCATCACCACCACCCCCACCCCCACCCAGAAGCCATGGTTATGCCTTCATGCATTGTCATGCTATTTTTAATCAGTGTGCCATCGGCACAGCCCCTACCCCCCACACCCACTTCCCCACCTCCTCAGTCTCTCTTCGACCCCTGTGGTACAGACTTGATGCACCCTTTATGCTGTCAAGTGCGTGTTCTAACATCACAAATTGACAGAACAACTGTTTTTTATCTACAGATGAAATCTTATGGATTGGCATTGAGCGTAATGTCACCGATGGTCACTGGAGCTGGACAAATGGACATTCCCTTGGACCCTACATCAACTGGAATTCCTTAAAGATTGGTGTTGATAAGATTTATGGCAAGATGTTTCGTAATGGCAAATGGAGTGCATTTTCCGCGAAAAGGGAATTAAGAGCTCTGTGTGAGATAGATGTTTGAGGCTTAGGTGTTAGGATATGTATAGAAATCCCATTGTAGTATATACATATTGAATATAATGTAGGAACTACATACCGTATGGGAAGACGAAGCGTGACAATCTGCTTTTACAAACATCGTCTTGACCTCGTCTATATAGACGACATTGTTCAGAGGCTACCTTAGATATTTTACTATTGTATCTGTATTTGTCATGAACAAACATTAATGTCGCAAAGAAACAACTCTACCAGACTGAGTTATAATTTGATGTGAAGAGTACTCGCTAGATCTAAACCCGCAAAACAGACATGCGCATGCTCTGTTATTCCGTAACAAATAAGAGCTGGTAAACGGCAAGGCAGAACATTCAGTCTTACGAAGTTCAAATGCTTATCCAAATTTGTATTCTATGTTATTTGAACGACTAAAGAAAGAAAGAAACACAAACTCACCATAGAAAACATACAGTGCATTTGCTGCTGCATGAACCCAAGCTGGATTTATATCCTCATTCAGCCGCTAGCGATGGTAGGAAAATTTAATCATAATCTAAAACGTCACAATATGGCTGAAATATGGCCGATATGACGGTAAATATTAACTCACTCAGTCACCATAATTTAAAATGTAAACAATACTACGTTATAAAATATGGTAAGTTTAAATTGACTTTGAATGTTGCGGGATTTACGTACCCTGTCAGGAGGATATTAATTTTACAATACTTTAACCCCCTTTCACAATGCAGCCACTAACGATCTCAGTTATTTATTTATATTCCCAATCATAAAAATATACATGTATCTACAATACATATTAATCAAAGTGTTTCAATTAGTTTTATTTCTTAAAGAAACCCACAACAATCAAATGATAATTTACATCACGAAAAAGATCCTTTACTGTTTTGGCACTGAAATAGTTATCCCTAGTGATGGAAAATTCCAGTCGGATTTTAACTTATTTATTTTAAAATCGTAATTATAAACAAATTGTGCGTCACAGTATCTAAAATTACAGTCAATATTTCCAATGAATGGGGAAATTCATCACTCATCAATAGTTGAGACTCAAGATAAATACACTCACTATATTATATATATATTTGTGTAGCAATGTCCGCACCCTGATCGTGATGAGATGGTGCCATGCAAGTTAGTATTGGTTGTACATTCATCTTATATATATATATATATGCACAAGATGAATGATGAATTTCTCCACTAACTTGGAGGAACCAATTGAAAACGTTATGCAGATGAATTGCACAAGGTTCATACATCAAAATTCTGAATAGCATTGGCAAATATCATGCATGTGAGCAGCTGCGTTTTGGTGTAAAGTTTTCTTAAGATTTCGCCAGAGTTTATTGAACTCACGATAATAATATTTTCACCGTTACGAATTTGTTTTACAATGCATCAGTTCATGTGTAAACAGTACCTATAAACAGTATGGAATATTTTGCAAAATCTAGTTTAGAACAGTTGACTGATTAAGTGGCCACATTTACACTAAGGAGTCTAAACTTTTGATGGGCACTTACGATTATTATTATTATTGGATATTTGTATCGCGCACATATCCACGCACTAGTGCATGCTCAAGGCGCTGGTAATCTTATTATCAATCTCAACTCCATGGGGATCATGCAACTCTTGCTGCCACAAGGCGCACCGAGTTATTGCGGCTTTCAAATCCTTACGAGGTACCCATTCACAGCTGGGTGGACCGCGACACATAGTCACTGTACTTTGTCCAAGTTTACTGCACTAGGTGTTTGTACGAATTCCTGTGGCCACCATCTGGTCATATACCAATGGATTCGTGGGTTCTTTTAAGTGCACAGGGTTGTGTACTGTACACTAGGGGTTGTGACAACACTGAAAGATTCTGCACACAAAGTTGACTCCAAGGTGTTTACACCTTACACACAGTTGAATGATGCATTGTAACACAAATTCGTAACGTTGAAAATATTATTATATTCCAGTCAGAAGAAAAAACGACAAGGGGCCGGTTCTAAACTATTTTCAAAATCGTCTTAAGTTTAAGAAATACCAGATAATTTTCTTGAAATATTAGTATATACGCATACGTAACTAATCGCATTATTCCAAAATTTCAAAGTAACTGGGTAGGTTAGATAATAGAAATCGTCTTTTTTACAATTTGTACGTAATGATACTAATATGAATAAATCTCTCTTCAAATTCGTACAGTATCAGAAAGCAACAGAAGAGAGTAATATTTGGTAAATCAATCCTCAATCATCTAGATCCTCAATAGAATTCCGTTGAGAAATTTGCCACTTGTAAGCTTAATGAGATAAATTATCTAGCGAACTTCATGTTGTAACACTGTTTGATTTGAAGAAAAAGAATTAGAAATAGAACGCATATACATGTTTATATCTCACTTGCAGACATTGAAAACGCGCCTTACGTCTCGTGTAGGAAGTTAATTTCAAAACTTTTCTTTCTTTCTTTTTTATTGTTAATCAGACAATTGTCTTCGCCATATCTACGTCACTTTGTGTTCCTAGTCTGTGTACAATTGTACGATAGGATAACATTCGGTCTATTTGGAGCGTTGGACAGAAACAAGCTAATTGCAGATTTGGAGGAAAACCAAGATCTATGGAGGGTCATCTTCTTTATTGCAATCAGTGAGACGTTTTGGTGTAGGCATTAACACCGTTACTTGCTTGATAATGGTGTTAGTACCTACACCGAAACGTCGAACTCATTGCAATAAAGAAGTTGACTATCTATAGAACATGGTTTCCTTCATATATACAACTTCTAAAATGACTCAAAGAAGTTAATTGCAGATTTGCTGTGGATAAATAAGGAGAAAGTAATCAATCTGCAAGACATCAACAGAAAAATGGGCATTTGAGTTCGAGTAGGGTAATGCCAAAAATGCACTCGAATACCTTTCGACATGGCAAGTAATCCTCATTTATTCATTTCATTTGTTCATGAGATGTCGGTTGCACTGCTCGTGGGGCTGTCCAATTAAAAGGAGATGCATCAGTCATTGATCATCCTGGTTGTTGTTATTCCCAAATTTTTTATTCAGATAGAATTATCTCAGCATTGGGCGAAAACATTCCTCTACTATTGTTAGCCTGTGATTTTCACGTGTATTACATTTCAAGAGTACACTGATTACGCCACAGATTGTTCTTCATAAAAATAACAAAAACCATCATCGGATCTAGTCTTTGCAGGAACTTGATTTTGACGTCAAAGTGACGGCACAGACAGCATTATTGCTGATCCCAGTTGTTTGAATGTTATCAGTTGCGACTTCAAACATTATTTGAAGTATTTCACGTGCTTAGCTTAGTTTTTTACTTCTATTAATAGATTGTTGTCAAACCCTCTTCAAAACAGGGCAAGTATTGAATGGTAGTGTAATGATTTTTATGCAATGTTTCAATTGATGAACAGAGAGAAATTTCTGGATTTCATCTTCTTTTTATTCTTTGATACAACATCTTGGGTCCTGTTAACATAGTTTTATTAGTTGTACATGATGATGGGTCTGGAACAGGTCCCGAAACGTTATATATAAAAATGAAAAGAAGATGAAATCCAGAAAATTCTTTATGTTCATCAAATTGCATCTTATAAAATGCCAATCAAGCATCTAATGTTACAGTTGTACTTCATTGTTTCTGTGAAGGTTTCGAAGAAGTTTATTCACGTTGTGTTTTCCTTACATTAAGTAATAATTGTACTCACTAAGAATGTGTTATCCCTGGAGTCCAGTACATAACAAACAAATCCAGCATGAGTGAGTGAGTGAGTTTAGTTTTACGCCGTACTCAGCAATATTCCAGCTATATGGAGGCGGTATGTAAATAATCGAGTCTGGACCAGACAATCCAGTGATCAACATCATGAACATCTGCGCAATTGGGAACCAATGACATGAATCAACCAAGTCAGCGAGCCTGACCACCCGACCCATTTGTAGCCTCTTACGACAAGCATAGTCGCCTTTTGTGGCAAGCATGGGTTCCTGAAGACCTATTCTACCCCGGATCTTCACGGGTCAATCCATCATGACAGAGCACAGTATGGAACGTATTTCGTCTTTATAAGCACATGCCTCTATCATCTCACAGAGACCAGCAGTTGTGTAAACTACCTAATTTCGTCCTGGATATCCTGCCTAGGTCTGTTTGAAAACTTTTGCTGCTAATAAATGCAGAATCCCTATCTTTATTGGTGTATGCACATACGCATACATATACTCTTATTGTAGTTTCAACTTCAACTCTACTGAGTACTGCCAAATGTAATTTGCAGTAACTTGTATCGATTCGTAAACTATTGGGTCATGGCTTAAACTTTGGTGTTATACATTTCACAACTTTTGAGGCACAATCGAGCTTGCTCTTTGTATCAGGATTTAAAAGAGCGTCATGCCACAAATACTTGACCACTTGAACAATCAAGACGGGATCTAATTTTTAGTTTGCCTGATGCAAACATCATACATCGGAAGTTGAACGGGCACTCAGCGAAAGCAACATTTGTCCAGGTAATGGATAAACAAATTAAATCAATTCCCAGCTGTCTGACATAATCTTTAACTTGTGGTATCGGTATATAAGGACGTTGGTCGTTGCTACTGAGGCAGTCACCATGTTCACATTCTCCTTGCTCTTCACTGGCTACATCACAAACACTCTGGATCCGTTCCTGTCTGGGGCAACCCTCAAATCAGAATGTGCAGTAGCTTGTGTGAACAACGAAAATTGCTCCTCATTCTTCTATGACGTCAACACTCAGGCTTGTTACCTGGAGAAGTATGTGTTCGTTGCCAGAGACCAGCTCCAGAATCGGAGTGATGTTCAATACTTTTCTCTGCTGAACGGTAAGTATTTTACCATCGAAGATCAGATTCTGCCATTGTTTTCTGTTGAAACGAGACATATGAAAACCTTTTTCACGAGCATTGTAGCCAAATTATGAATTTCATGAACAACACCTTTATTTTTAGATCACCACGTAAATCATTTTGTACGACAGTTTTAACTACTTGAATTAAAACCAAGTTTAAAACAATTTACAAAAATGTAACATTGTGCGAAGTCTATCACAAAGGCCTCCAAGGCTCACAGGTCAATGACTGACCCACGATGTAAAACCCCGTTAAATGACCAGATTTTGTGGACTCCATCCCTTAACAAGAAACATTGTGTGTCCTTTTGTGTCTAAATAAATTGCATAAAAGAGGCTCAGTAAAACTATTGAAACACAAGTGCTTCCACGCCAATATATAGTCAGCCAGTGCCAACCGTTGTTTTCCAGGGGCTTGTCCTGCCAGCTACGTCTACTGTCACAAACCAGTGTCTCAGGCGCTACGCATCTTCGATCATGAAGTTTCCAGCCGCAAAGGCACTGTGTATGGAGAACTCGGGACATCTTACCTTTATTAGATCTAAGGAGGAGAACAGACAAACTGTCCTTGTTGCAAGGAGTAAGTACAACTCATGACACGACTATCTTTAGGTTCATGATAATTGCTAATTCATGTTATTCACGGTACATAATTTAATTACACAATGATTGTTTAGCTATCAGGTATATAATACGTTTGGTTTACCACAAATAACGCTTTTACAAGGCCACGACTTGCTGAAAACCAAAACAACGAACCGTTCGTTTGCTGCAAACAGGAATGTTGCAAAACCAGGTTGCCAATTCAATCCTCTGAAACATATTATCACTTGGGAGACAGCAGAGCAGCATTAATTTATTGTGGGCCGTTCGTCCACGTGTAACGTCACGTCAACACGACAACCAATTTCGCTTAGTGCATTTCAGAAATCGTTACCAAACTGACTCATCAGCAGCTGATAACGCCAAGCGTTAAGACCAATTAGTGGAAGACCCGTAAGCAAGCGGTTGTGGGCCTCTGGTCCCGATATCCAACAATATTCCTAAATGTGCTTGAACGTCAACATTGAGAGCTTGGTGTAGACATGCTTTACAAAAAGTCGTCACCAGTTTTCATGGTGTATGCGTAATAGTGTCTTGTGGCATCACTCATGGGTGAACACAACTCACCTTTGTTAGTAGCCGTTTGAATGACAGACGCTACCGTAAATACATCGTTTGAGACCATGTTCTACTTTTTTTAAAACACTACAGGAGTTTGCCTAGCCACATTGTGCAAGCGATGTAACTGTCATAACATTGCTGCATTGCCATGGCCAATTCTTCTTACTGAGAACCACTCCACAAGAGAAGCTGACTATGATGAGAAGGAACTTCAAAATATTATTGCATTGGCTATTGACCATGGTTGAAATGTAGTACTAGAACTGAAAGGCAGTGAAAGAAAATATGGCAGCAGTGTCATCAGGAGTTGATCTTCTAGAAGCCCTGCGCTTATCATCATGTTTTATCCACCCGGCATGTAACGCAGGGGAATATAGTCGACGCTACGTCCGTCCGTCCGTCCGTCCGTCCGTAATCATTTTATTTCGGATCACAACTCAAAAACCGCTCAATATTTTTCAACAAAACTGGTAGGAATATCAAACAGAACCTTGGCGCCTTGTGCTTTTTACAGATTGTTGTCATTTACAGATTTTTGTCATTTTTAGTTTTCTTGACTTACATGGAAACATTCTGGACTTAGTCTCAAAAGGGAGGGGCACAACTTGAAAACCGTTTAATATCTTTCAACAGAACTTATCAGCTATATGAAACAGACCCCAAAGTGGTGCCTTTTGTTATTTGCGGATTTTTTTGTCAATTTTATATTTGTGGACATAACAACTGTTTTCTTATCTCCAGACGAAACCTTATGGATCGGCCTCGAGCGTGACACCGGTGGTGAATGGCACTGGACAAATGGACATTCTCTTGGTTCCTACGTCAACTGGAATTCCACTGGGATTGGAGATGATAGGATTTATGGCAAGATATTTGGTCCTGGCGGATGGAGTGCCTATCGCGCGAGAGGGAAATTAAGAGCTCTGTGTGAGATAGATGTTTGAGGCTAATGATGATGCTCTTAGCTGTCAGTATACTTATAGAATCCCAATGTAGTATATACTTATTGAATATAATGTCGGAACTACATACCGTATGGGAAGACGAAGCGTGACAAATCGGTTTCTAAATTGTCTGTCTATCTATCTATCTATCTATCTATCTGTCTATAGTATGTGTATGTGCATGTGATCATAAGTCTCGTACCGTTTACCTGCACTACAGCCAGATGATTCAAGAGGAGACAACTCATAAGCATCCCTCATTAAGTTCTTTTGGGTTAACGGTACCCTCCTCAACTTCTTAGCATTGTTCAGAGGCTAGCTTAGACATTTTAATATTGTATCTGTATTTGTCATGAATAAACATCAATGTTGCAAAGAAACAAATATTCCAGTTATAATTTTATATGAAGATTACACACTAGATCTAGACCACAAAACAGACATGCTTGTGTTATTCTATAAAACTATTCTCTAAAACAGATAAGAGCTGGTAAGCAGCAACACAAAACATTCAGTCTCACGAGATTCAATGCTGTTCACATCCAATTCGTTTTCTATGTTGTTTGAAAGACTTAAGAAAGAAAGAAATGCTAGCAAAACACACCATCGAGTTCCTAAGCCGGTGTTACATGAGCATTCTAAGGAACCAAACAAAGACTCCAAAGTATTTTACGCGATAATGTGATTAAACTATCATTGTCTCTGAGTTATATTTAACTTATGTTACTGCAACATATATACAATAGACCGATCCAGTCCCGGCCGATAAGCCCCGCCCACTTCGTTTTTGACGTTAGGGGGGACAACCACTGACTAATCACAATGGCGTCACCGCCGGCGAAACGTACGTGATTGAGAACATTGTTGATAAATTATGCTTGTGATACTTTGGTATCCCTCGTTTGTGAATGATATTTAAAGAGGCAAGTTTAGGTATGTGATTTTTAATATATTTTAGTTGGCAGATTGCAATTGGCGAGTGAAAATGAGTTACATGCCCGATGAAAAATCGTCTCGACCAGCTGCTGAGAGTAGGAAGCGTATTTTCGTTCGAATCAATTAATCTATCTGGCAATTCACCTCCGTCAAAGATATCAGCAGGGGAAGGGTAACTGAATTTTGTTGTTTGGATTTTTCCCCAAAACAATTCCCATCATAAGTTTATAAAAACCGTGAACACATCCACATGTTCATGTTGCAGATCGTTTCGGTATCTATAAAATAGATTGTCAACGTTGCGCGTGGTGCCTTTACTTAGTTATCCGCTGGTGTTGTTCAAACTTAGTTAAATAATCTGAAAACATGGGTTTCTTTGTTTTAATGAATTAAATGAATGGTAAATAAAAAGCAGAAAATATTTCCCGTTTACCTTCGTTTCTTATTTGTCTGTATATAATTGATGTAAACAAATCAGTCACAGCGCATAACTTATTTGATCTTATTTGGAAATCTGGAAAATATGATTGGGCTTGTAAACAGTATGTTTCCATGGATGTACTCCGGACCGACCCAGAAGCAAATATTCAACAGCTGATCTGCAGCAATTCTCAGTAAAGTTTCCCTCTTCAAAATCTGTACACCATCCTAAAATGACAATGAATATAAGGAAATCCATTTTTTAAAACCATCCTTTCCACTTTATTTTTCTATACAATGTACGTAGTTTGTTGTGGAATCCTAACTTACATACAAACTTCCACAATACTTGACTTAATGAACTGCCAGCGTTTATGTACAGGTATGTCACAGCACCAGAACACAAAGAAGATCCAAGATACAGTCTGCATCTGTCCAGTGACCCATCTTCCAGAAATAGGAAACCTGTGATGCAAAATCTTTGAACAGATCATCCACTAGCTGTTATCCGAACAATTAACTACATTGAAATAGAATGTTACACAAAATTAAAAAATATTTTTTTTTGCTTCAGAGATATTTAACTGCTAACTACTAGTGCAAATAAGGTGCAAAGAATATATCCTAAGTTCAAAGCTTTTTGTCAATACAAATATTGACATTATTGCTTCTTAAACAATGACAATCTCTGTTTTATTAGGTCTGAGACTATATCGATAGAGGACATTTCTAAATTTTGATCTATTTCCTTTTCTGAGGTACTTACTAGTGTCATACAAATTATAGTAAGGTTGATTCAAAATTTGGTAAAAGTCATAGAGGTAAGGAAAACACCTCCTACAACCAGTGTGCAATTTAATGAAGCTCATTTTCCAAATAACCATCAACAAACCTTGAACAATTTGTCCAAAACCAACATCTTAATAAACACTAGCTTTGGCTCAGTCTTCAAATATTAGTAGCCTCCTAAAAAACTGATGATTTATAAGAAACATTACATCAAATCTGGGTTAAATATATGTTTCAATATTTATCCCATTACATGAAAAGTCAACTGAGATTTCTGTAAGTTATTTCTGTTCCAGGACTGGATAATGCCTGACCAGGATGTGACCAAAACATAGGGTTGCTTTATCAAATTCTCTGGATGTTGAAATAACTTTGATGAGTTATGATACTAGCAATCACTTTCAGAATTATCTTATTAGTAAGTATATTATTTTTAAAAAACCATCTAAAAGCAGGAGCCAACAAACTAAGTTAGTACCAAGTGATTGTCCTGTCATGATTTGTATAGTGTTTGTTTGCCTAGTTCTGCCTTAAAATCACATGAATCTGATATGTCAATTAATTAAATAATTATTTATAATTGATTAGATTAGTATGTATTGATTACCCTTACACATTTACTAAAAAGAGCAAGATTCTTAAAACATACCTTGCTATCATTTCCAGTGAATTAATCAAAATGACAATTGCAATATTGCTCCTAAAATGTACCAATATATGTGAATAATTTTATGTTGTAACAAAACTTCAAATGTCCTCATAATTAAGATATACACTTTATTTCAATCCGCCCAATACTCCAGAAAGTCCCTATTCTTCTCACATAGTTTTCGTATTCGCTCCACATGGAAGAACGTAACTCAATTCAAAGTCCCATCCATCTCTTTATACAAATTCTGAAATATTTGAAGCATAGTTCTATAGGCACTCATATGAATTAATTTTGATATTTGGATATTGCATGATAGGCAACAATATTACTCCTCGAATATTTTGCACTATTAACAAGGTACTGTGCAGTAGGCCTTCAGATTGCGCTTTTGAAACTTAAAACATCCTAAAATGTGTGACAAATTTAGGAATATCTAAGATCTATGTGTATCCGCCACATTGTTCTTTAATGTAACAAGTTTTGCTATTTCGGTCGACCCTAGAACCGAAATCAGATCGCTGGCAGATTTGTTTACATTGTGTCACGGTTTTCTCGCCTGTCTCACTTCAGCTGTATGGCCTACCAACTCAATGCCCAGTAGTGACTAAAGACGTTAAGTAAAAACAATTTTGTAGTTTCAAGAATTGTCCGTGTTTATAACACTTGCAAAGTCTTAAACTGCTATTTGTTGTCATCAATTGGTAATGATTTTGCACATGTGCATAAGTGTGGAAATTCGTGCAAATTCTTATCTGCGGGCATGACGTAGGTTTCGTGAACGATGGTGCAGACAATTATCTGATCGCGAGACCTATCGCGCTCCTTGATCCGCCTCAATTTGTTTTGTCTTGACGGTGATGTTTTTGTTAAAAGTACACATCAAATCACAGCAATATGTAATAGATATAGCGTGTTTAAATGGCATAATTCGAAGCACATTGCTTCGGAGGCATTGTTTGACCCCGGAAATAAGTCTGACAAATCCACACAGCGCACCCGGCCTTCTGATTGGCCAAAAGTGACGCATGCGTTAGTTTTGATTGACGAACTGGATCGGTCTATTATATCTCTAACATCTACTTCATAGAGACTCATTGTCCACTGTTAGTGTAGATTCTGGGGGTCGGTGGAGTAGCCTAATGGTTAAAGCGTTGGCTCGTCACGCCGAAGACCCGGGTTCGAATCCCCACATGGGCACAATGCGTTAAGCCCATTTCTGGTGTCCCCCGCCGTGATGTTGCTGGAATATTGCTAAAAGCAGCGTAAAACCAAACTCAGTAGATTCTGGGGCTTCCGCACAGAAACACGTTTGCTAATGAGTAAGGTTGAGAAACACTGGTTCACTCTTACATATACATACACTGGCATTTAAGCAGCAATAAAAACTAAACAAATGACCAGTGTAAAAAGACAGGAAGCTAAATACCAACCCCAGTTCCGCGCCAGATGTCACCCGCCCCAAACAGTCTATGCTCGCATGCAGTGAGTGAGTTAATAGTCACATCGGCAATATTTCAGCCATATCGTGACTTAATCAAATTATAGATGTATAATAACTGAAAGTAAATATTTAAATCCTATCAACGAAGGATAGTAAAACAACTAGATGATCACAGATATAAATTTAAAACTAGTCATTAAATCTAAAATATTTTAACTATAAATTTAATGAAAATACAATATAAAAACAGGCCATAGATTGACAACAACTGAAGGTAGATCAACATACTAGGGGCCATGGCTCGCATTCAGAAAATGTCATCATGGTTAGAACGTCAGGCGTAGATATTGAAAAACATGGTCAGTTTCAGTTACTGAGTGGGTGCACATTTACAAAATATAAGGTACTGGCAGAAAATCACTCAATCACAGCCTCACATGATTTCACAGTTTGGCTGATGGGTGGCGCCATTTTGGTTTGTCTAAAGCTTGGAGTGAGTAGAATTAAGTGAGGGTAATTATATGTAAACGCTTTACGCTATTGTTAGACATATTTGTTTCATTTATAGATCTTCCTTAACGAAACTCATTACTGTGAATGTCTTTGATGTCACCTTCCATGCGATTGGGGAAGTAAGGAAGAAGCTTCGTGCGCTTTTCCGTCAGTTGGAAATCTGGAAATCTGGAAATCTGGAAACAATCTTATTCGACATGCAAAACGTAACGTCTACCTGGAAATAGTACGTTAGTCGTTTCAAATATCACTTTGATTGTACAAAATAAAAATGTCTATACATTTAAGGTTGGAGGGCACATTTCGTGATTGTCTGAATGGCTGCGTCTGCACTGGTGGCAGCGATGATTTCTGACATATTACCATCATGCGTAACTAACTGCACAAATGCAAAATGTCAAAGCAGCTGGGAGGATAGATAATAGAAATCGTATTTTTAACTATTTGCACGTCGTCATAATAATATAAATAAATCTCTCCTCAAAAGCGTTCAGTATCAGAAAAGAACAGAAGAAATTAATATTTGATAGATCAAGTCTGCTACTTTGATTTGAAGATAAAAAGCTAAGAAGTAGAACG